ATCACACACTCTGTTGTGTGCCACAGAGGCAGATCACCCTCGGTAAGTGGGGTAGAGGCAGGGATTGAACCCATGTCAAAATCTGAAAGTGTGGATCAGGACAGAAATATGGATTTAAAAAAAAAAGTGTGTCAGGGCTGGAGCCATAGCACCGCCGATAGGGCGTTTGCCTTGCACGCAGCCAACCCGGGTTCGATTCCCAGCTTCCTATATGGTCTCCCCGAGCACCGCCAGGAGTAATTCCTGAGTGCAGAGCCAGGAGTAACCCCTGTGCATCGCTGGGTTTGATGCAAGAAGCCAAAATAAAATCACTGTCACTGCCACTGTCGTCCTGTTGTTCATCGATTTGCTCAAGCGGACCCAGTAATGTCTCCATTGTGACACTTGTTACTGTGTTTGGCATATCGAATACGTCACGGGGAGCTTGCCAGACTTTGCTGTGCGGGTTTTGCCGTGCGGGCGAGATACTCTCGGTAGGTTGCCGGGCTCTCCGAGAGGGGCGGAGGAATCGAACCTGGGTTGTCTGGGGCAGCTGCATGCAACCTACCCGCTGTGCTATCGCTCCAGCCCCAAAATAAAATAAAGTATGTGTACACAATGGAATGAGAAAGGGTGAATCCGTCCCTTCTGCATCCACTCCATGCCCTGTTTGGTAACCTCCATTCTGTAAGATTTTGTTTCTGTCCACATTGTCAGATCCCTTACTGTGTCTCTCTAGGTATCACCTGAGTGAGATCATCTGACATTTACTCCTCTCCTCCTTTTTACTTTTTTTTTGGGGGGGTCACACCTGGCTGTGATTATTCCCAGCTCTGCACCCAGGGATGATTCCTGGCAGGGCTCAGGAAACCGTATGTAGTGCCGGGGGATCGAATCAGGCTTGGCACCCCGTCGACTGTACTCTCTCTCCAGCCCTAGTTTCCCTCTCATTTTCCTAACATAACGCCCTCTGGTTTCATCTAGATTGTAGCAAAGGGCCTTGGGTTCAAGCCCTTGACACCATAATAAAAGGAAGGAAGGTAGAAAGGAAAGGAAAAAAGCTGGTCTCCCCTTGTTGCGATTAGACCCACTTCCAGTGTTTCATTTCACAAAGTGGGAGTCTTCAGGCTCTGCAGACCAGACCCGGGGAAATGGGAGGCTTATCTGTCACTTGAGTCACGTTCCTATGTCCCCAAAATCTTAATGCATAAACTGTAAGAGACTCAAGACTCAAGTATCCCCTTAAACATTTTATTTGGGGGTGGTGGGAGTAGACCCTACCTGCCAATGCTCAGGGTTCACGCCTGTTAGTTCTCAGAAGACCATGAACAGTTCTGGGTATTGATCCAGGCTTGGTTGTATGCCAGGAAGCACATGACACCCTGTACTATGTCTCCAAACCTTTCTTTCTTTCTTTTTTATATTTTATATATTTTAAATTTTTAAAAAAATTTCATCAAGGGCTGGAGCGATAGCACAGTGGGGAGGGCGTTTGCCTTGCACTTGGCCGACCCAGGTTCAATTCCCAGCATCCCATATGGTCCCCTGAGCACCGCCAGGGGTAATTTCTGAGCGCAGAGCCAGGAGTAAACCCCTGTGTGACCCAAAAAGAAAAAAAAAAAACTTTTCATCAAGTTGTTCACAATAATTGGTTTCATTCAATATTTCAGCACCAATCCCACCAACCGTTATCCTTTCCCGCCGCCATTATTTCGAATTTTCCCACCACCACTCAAGCCTGCCTCATAGGCAGATGCTAGATAATTTATTTTGTATTGCTTGTTATGAATAGTATGAGGTTTCTGTAAGGGTCTATCTGACAGTGATTCAACAAAAAAGTTAAAAAAAAAGTACTATGAGATGTCCTGGAATTCTAAAATTTTTAAATAATTGGGGTCCAGAGACATCTCTGCGGCGAGCTGCTCAGTTCCAAGATTAATTTGTGAGTCTCTGGATCATGGCCATTAATGGGCTGGAGCCATAGCACAGCAGGTAGGGCATTTGCCTTGCACGCGGCTGACCTGGTCGGCCCAGGTTCAATTCCTCCACCCCTCTCAGAGAGCCCGGCAAGCTACCGAGAGTATCTCGCCTGCACGGCAAAGCCTGGCAAGCTCCCCGTGACGTATTCGAGATGCCAAACACAGTAACAACAAGTCTCATGATGGAGACGTTACTGGGCCCGCTCGAGCAAACTGATGAACAGGGGGAGGGCAGTGTGACAGTGCTAATGTGCTTTAATGCCACCTGGAGGCAGTTCGTGGGTGTGCCAGTCAGGGCAGGGAGGTGGGAAGATGCGGCCATTCCTGACCCCTTGAGGCCGGGGGTTTTCAGTCACTGGTCCCACATTCCGGGGTTTTCAGCAGATTTCTTCTCTTGTGTGGAGTGCCCAGGATGAACCTGTGAAGGTGGGCCACAAGGGTGGTGGTCATTGGATTCTGGAGGTCTGTGGTAGCTGGGGTTCACTGCGGCAGGCGGAGAGAGGACATCTGCTCCTGTCCTAGGCGCCCCATGAAATCATCCTGGGGCAAGGCCTGGAGACATCCCTGCAGCGAGCTGCTCGGTTCTGAGATTCATTTGTGAGTCCTGTGTCTCCGAACCTCTCTAAACTTCTTAAACCATAATAAACAAATCCAAAGACTGAGTATCGCGCCAGAAAGAAAGTACAGTGTGTAGGACGCTTGCTTGAATGTGAGTGACCTGAGTTTGATCTGTGGCACCCCCTGTATTCTCCTGATCCCCTCCAGGAGTGATCCCTGAGTGTACAACCAGACATAAGCTCTGAGCACTGCTGGGGGATCAGAGAAGACCCTCCCCAAAAGACCTCAGGCTCCTACAAGATACATTTTTTTGTTCAGTTAAGTACGGCTTTCAGCCAGAACCAGTTAATTAGTGGCCTGTATCTTCAAGCATTCCTATTACAATTAGTTTCTCACCGAAATTAATCATGACGACTGCATCATAACCACTCCACTCGAGGATTACTACCTATTCAAAGCCTTTCCTGTAAGCATTCTCCTAAATTTTGATCAGCAGATAGTAGGGAGGCACCCGCTTTGTGATGTAGTGAACTTGGCTAATTGAGTTTAGGAATTTTATCGCTGATCTTCTGTTGGTCCCCTTCAGAATCCATTGGGCCTGGATTCTGAATGTAATTGTGTGCATAACTGAGATTACCTAAGGTCTTCTTGAATTTAAGATGAGCTTGATCTTATTGATGAATCTTTAGGGGTGGTGAGTGCACACCATATGTGGCACTGTAGCACTGTCCTCCCGTCGTTCATCGATTTGTTCAAGTGGGCCCAGTAACGCCTCTGTTGTGAGACTTGTTGTTATTGTGTTTAGCATCTCGAATATGTCACGGGTAGCTTGCCAGGCTTTGCCGTGCGGGCGAGATACTCTTGGTAGCTTTCCGGGCTCTCCCAGAGGGGCAGAGGAATTGAACCTGGGCCGACTGTGTCAGCCGCATGCAAGGCAAACGCCTTACCTACTGTGCTATCGTAGCCGAAATAGCTCAGTTGGGAGAGTGTTAGACTGAAGCACACCATGTGGTGCTTGGAATATTGGTCCTGTGTTCAAAAGTGAATCCTGTGGTACCAGATACTTGATCACGGTCAACAGCCCGCAAGGTCGACTCCCTATACATTTGTTTGCCTGAAGACCGTTATTAACCACAGTTTTAATGATGACCATGAGCAATTCCTGGCACTGCGTGTGGTTCCAGAAGCACCAGCCACAGTGATCCCTGAGCACAGAGCCAAGAATAACTCCTAAGCATCTCCCAGATGGACCCCCCACCCCCACCAAAATAAAAAAAAAATACCCAAGTCATAGTGAGGATTATAATCACTTTGAATCTATGTGTTAGATCGTCATCAGGCCCTTCAACCCATTTTGTATGGAGGGTTTCTCCGGTGGTGATGGCACTGACTTGCCCAGGAGTCGTTGGAGATCCACCACACAGAGCGGTGTGTGTCTGCTGGCTCGATGCTCAGGCCCTGGGATGCTGGCAGCTGCCAGTACTGCACCTTGTGACACTCCAGAGAGCTCGGGGCCGTGTGGTGAGAGGGATGAAACTCGGGCCCTTACACATGTCAGGCATGTGCCTTCGTTCTTGTGCTGTATCATTTCTGGCTCCACAAATTAGTTGTCCAACTCCTGGGATTAGAAAATGAAGTGTTAGAGGGGACAACGCACTTGTTCTGCGCCTCTCTGACCCCACTTTGATCCCCAGCATCAGCCCCGTATCCTTCCCAGATGACATCATTCCCACCCCCAGGAGTGATCCCAAGCACAGAGCCAGCAGGGAATCCTCAGCACTGCCAAGAGCGGGCCGGGAAAAGGAAGGGGGAAGGGAAATAATAAAACGTTGGCATCTGGTCAAACTATTGTCGTTGGGTTAAATTTAGCTCATTTCATTTTCTCCTGTCACGCTTCACCTTTCATTTTTCAAATGTCTATTGTGTTGTCTCTGTAAGAGAAATCTTAAAAGATCGTTCAAGATATAATCATGGAGGAATACAAGATTTTTTTTTTTTTTGCTTTTTGGGTCATACGCAGTGATACACAGGGGTTACTTCTGGCTCTGCACTCAGGAATTACTCCTGGTGGCGCTCGGGGGTCCACATGGGATGCTGGGAATCGAACCCGGGTTGGCCAACGTGCAAGGCAAACACCCTACCCGCTGTGCTATCGCTCCAACCCCAACAAGGAATTCTTAAATTTTGTTAACCTTATAAACATACTTTATATCACCTGTGAAAAGAGATACAGATATTCTGGCATTAACATTACTATTCAGTCAAATATCAATAATATTCTACAGGCAAATAAGTTTTAATTTCAGAAATGGAAGGATGGCTTCAGTACAAGTGTATATGTATTCAGAATAAAATGCCTCAACATGTAAAAAAGAAACGTGTAAAATACACATAAAAATACAGAATAGACATGATAACATTTAGCTACCATTATCTAACGTTAAACACGGAAACAGACAGAAATATATAAGCTGTATAAAATGAGCTCTTGCTTCGGCAGTACATATGCTAAAATTGGAACAATGCAGAGAAAATTAGCATGGCCATTGCCCAAGAATGACACAGACATTCGTGAAGCATTCCATATTTTTCAACAAAACTGAAAACTTGAGACCGAAGCTGCAACCACTGAAATTTTGTAATGTGCCTGTCAACAGGCAGAGATGGGGTGGGGGTTGGGATGGGGAGGGCGTCTGGGAATACTGGTGGAGGGAATTCAGCACCGGTGATGAGACTGGTGTTGAATTATTAAATGCCTAAAACTCGGTTTCTATAGCTGTAAATTACAGTTCTTTTTTTTGGGGGGGTCACACACAGCAATGCACAGGGGTCACTCCTGGCTCATGCACCCAGGAATCACTCCTGGCAGTGCTCAGGGGACCATATAGGATGCTGGGAATCGAATCCGGGTTGGCTGCGTGCAAAGCAAACGCCCTGCCCGCTGTACTGTCGCTCCAGCCCCTAAATCACAGTTCTTTAAAAAAAAATTTTTTTTAATGATTTGGGCTGGAGGAGAAGTACAGGGTAAAGGGTCTTAGCCTTCAGTGCAAGACCCCTTGGTAGGGTTCTTGGCACCCTTCTCTACCACCATGGGGAGTGAATGCCATGACAGGAGTAGCCTCTACGCAATGCCAAGGGTGACCAAAAGGATCGTCCCCCACATGGTAGCAGCATAAAAACAAAAACAATAAACTGATGTAACAGAGCTGGGAAAAAAATCACTGTAGGTGTAGAGCACAGGCCTGACGCCCTGAGCGCGGTTCCCACCTTCTCTCTCCGCCAGCTCCCTGCCAGCCCGGATGCCCCGAGCAGCATCTCCAGCCGGGCTCAGGCTCATCAGGCCCCCACGGGGACACTTCATGAGATGATTTTTAAGGCAAGCCTCTACAGATTTCCATTCTGACACAGTATTTGATTACATGAGAAATTAAAAGCTAATGGGGCGGGAGCCATTAGTTAGTAGTACAGCAGGTTGCCTTGCACGCAGCCAACCTGGACCCCATCCTCAGCATCCCGTATGGTCCCCGGCAGGAATGATTTTTTTAAATTAATTAATTAATTAATTAATTTTTAATTGAGTCACCCTGAGAGACACAGTTACAAACCTGTTCATGATCAGGTCTCAGTCATACAATGTTCCAATACCCATCCCTCCACCAGTGGACATTTCCACCACAACTAACCCCAGTTTCTCTCTCTCCACGCCTCACCACCACCAACCTGCCTCTTTCATTTCTCTCTCTCTCTCTCTCTCTCTCTCTCTCTCTCTCTCTCTCTCCCTCTTACCCCCCTTTTGGACATTATGGTTTATGAGTTTATGATACAGATACTGAGGCATTATCATGTTTGTTCCTCTACCTACTTCCAGGACACAGTTCTCATCCAGAGTGACCATTTCCAACTGTCATTGTTGTCATAGTGGTTCCTTCTCTGTCCGAACTGCCTTCTCTCCCCCAACACCTGAGGCAGGCTTCCGACCCTCGACCAATCCTCCTGGCCCTTGTTTCTACTGTCCTTGGGTATTATACTAAGGCTTTATTTGATTTGATTTTTTTAAAATATATTGTATGTCCTACAAATGAGTGCAGTCATTGTGTCTGTCTCTCTGCTCCTGCCTCATTTCACTCACTATAATGCTCTCCATGTTAGTCCATTTAGAAGCAAAGTTCATGAGCTCATTTTTCCTAACAGTTGCATAGTATTCTGTTGTGTAGTGCCATAATTTCTTTACCCAGTTGTCTGTTCTTGGACACTAGGGTTGTTTCCAGATTCTGGCTATTGTGATAGTGCTATAATGAATACAGAACTACAGATGGCATTTCTGATGTGTGTTTTTGCGTTCCCAGGGTATATTCCCAGACATGGTAATGCTGGGTCATATGGACACTCGATTTCTATTTTTTTGAGAAATGCCCGTATTGTTTTCCAAAGAGGCTCGACCTGTTAGATTCCCACCAAGGATGAATGAGAGTCCCTTTCCCCTGCATGCATGCTAACACTGGTTGTTCTTGTTCTTTTTGATGTGTGCCAGTTTCTTGGTGTGAGATGATATCTCATTGTTGTTTAATTTGCATCTCCCTGATGATTAGCGAGGTGGAGCATGTTTTCATGTGCCTTTTGGCCATTTGTTTTTCTTCTTTGAGGAAGTTTCTGTTCATTTTTTCTTCTTATTTCTTGATGGGGTTGGATTTTTTTTTCTTATGAAGTTCTACCAGTGCCTTATGCCTTATATATCTTGGATATTATCCCCTTACCTGATGCGTATTGACCAGGAGTGATCGTGAGTGCAGGACCAGGAAAAGTCCTGAGTGCTGCCAAGTATGGCCAAATAAATAAATAAATAAATAAACAAGGAAACAAAAAAACACCCAAACAAAAAATACCAACCCTCAAAAAAAGTTATGAAAATTAAAATTAAGCCTATGAAGTCTACAATGTGACATTGCACATTTATCAAAATAGTTTTAAAAACTACATCAGGCTGGAGAGATCCTAGGGTGGTGCATCTGAGGGCACTAGCCTTGCATTCAGCTGACTCAAGTTCGATCCCTGGCACCCTGGATGGTGCCCTAAGTACAGACAGGCAAAAAAAGTGACAACCAATACTGGCAAGAATGTGGAGTAACTTGAGCACCCAGTCCTGGTAGAAATGTCAAGTGTTACAGCCACTCTCTAAAACAGAATGGTAATTTCTTTTTTCTTTTCTTTTCTTTTTTTTTTCTTTTTGGGTCACACCCTGTGATGCTCAGGGGTTACTCCTGGTTTTGCACTCAGGAATTACTCCTGGCGGTGCTCAGGGGTCCATATGGGATGCTGGAAATTGAACCAGGGTGCAGGGCAAACGCCCTACCTGCTGTGCTATCACTCCAGCCCTAGAACGGTAATTTCTTTTTAGAAAATGACCATTCAGGGCTAGGGTGATAGTACAGCAAGTAGGGCATTTACATGGCACGTGATCGAACTGGTTTTCAGTACTCAGCACCACGTATGGTCCCCTGAGCACCACCAGGATTGATCCCCTGAGCACAAAACCAGGAATAAACCGTGAGTGTGCCCCCCTCCTCCAAAGAAAAAAGAAGTATGCTGAACTACATGATTCAGAAAATGTGCTCTTGGAATTGGATGATGACGGTACAGTTGATCGGATGCCTACCTTGCACCTGGCTGATCTGGGTTAGGTCTCCTGCATCCCATCTGGTCCTCCATGCACCACTAGGAGCAATTCCTGAATGCAGAGCCGCAAGAAAGCCCTAAGCATCACGAGGTGTGGTCCAAAACGCCAAAAAAAAAAAAAAAAACCTGAAAATGTGCTCTTGATGATTTATCACAGAGAAACAAAAACTCAGGTTCATGTAAGAGCCTATCCAGATGTATTTACTGCAGCTTTTTATTCAGCAGCCAAAAGCTAGTAACACCCATATGCCCGTATGTCTTTAACATGTGCGTAGTTAAAACTGTGGTACATGAATGTGAAAGAACAAAACATTCCTACACCAAAAAACCGGAATTTCCAGAAGATTACTAAGTGAAAAAAAAAGCAACAGTTTTAAATACAAATTTTCATGACATTCTTTTTTTTTTTTCTTTTTGGGTCACACCCGGCAATGCACAGGGGTTACTCCTGGCTCTGCATTCAGGAGTTACTCCTGGCGGTGCTCAGGGGACCATATGGGATGCTGGGAATCGAACCCAGGTCGGGCGCGTGCAAGGCCAACGCCCTACCCGCTGTGCTATGGCTCCAGCCCCTTCATAACTTTCTTGAAATGACCAAATGATGGAAAGGTAAAAGAGATGAGGTTTCACCCAGGGTTAATGAGGAGGGAGGACTGGCAAAGAGGGAACAGCTCTGAAAGGAGGAGGGGAGCAGGAGACATGGGAGGGGAGGTAGGACACTTGCTGTTGCACACAAGCTTGATGCCAGGTACCACATGTGGTGGTCTGAGCCCCGCCAGCAATGGCCCCTGAGCTCAGCAAGCAGCGTGAGCATAGCCATGTGAGGCTCAAACAAGCAAAAATAGACACGAGGAATCTTTGTGGTAGTAAAATTACCCTATTGACTACATGAATGTCAATGGTTTTTGACATGCAGTCGTATTTTGCTAGATGTTACATTGAGATAAACTTGGGAAAGGATGGTGTGTCTTATTTCTCTTCGTTGAAATTTAATTCACATGCCAAACATGGTATAAAAATATACCATTCAGGGGCTGGAGCGATAGCACAGCGGCTAGGGCATTTGCCTTGCACGCAGCTGACCTGGGTTCAGTTCCCAGCATCCCATATGGTCCCCTGAGCACCGCCAGGGGTAATTCCTGAGTTCAAAGCCAAGAGTAACCCCTGAGCATTGCCAGGTGTGACCCAAAAAGGAAAGAAAAAGCCATTCAATTTTTTTTTTTTTTAGTATATTCACAATCACAAATCCACTTGATTATAAACTTTTTTCCACATACTCCCTCCCCAACCCTAACCAGTAATCTTCATTATTTTTTTTTTCCGTAGGCTTCTCTGTTCCATTTAACATGCATAGAATCATATACTATGGGGTATTTTGTGACTGTTTCCTTTTACTCTTCATGTGTGAGAAGATTCGCCCATTTGCAATGTATAAAGACTTCATTTATAAAAACAGAGATCGCTGCCAGGGGTGGGGTGGGGTGGGGTGGAGCCACTCTTGGTGATGTGCAGTTCAGTGTGGGCCTCGCCGTTTGGTGAGTTGTGATGTGAGTTCAGTGTAGGCCTCACAGTTTGGTGCTCTGGGGCCCCGAACACCATAATTACAGTGTTTGGAATCACGCAGTGCTGGAGGTCGAACTTGAGGCCTGGGACATCCTAGGCCTGTGCTCTGCCTCTTGAACTGTATTCCAACTTTCTGTGTGTGTTTGTGCGGCTGGGGGGAACACCTTGCAGTGCTCTGGGCTTCTGGCTCTTTGCTCAAGGATCACTCCTGGCAGGACACCTGGCATTGAACCCGAGTCAGCTGAGCACAGGACAAGTGCCCTTCATATTGTATAATCTTTCTGGTCCCCATATCCCAACTTTTAAAGAGTGTATAAAAAGTTACAGTATGTATGCATATAGTTTTTTTCTAAGT